CAAACAAATTCCAGGGGGAGCATGTTTCCCGAGCCCCCTCGGGAAGCTTGCGCTTTTGGCGCTTGTTTAGGAAATGGGTCAGCATTTATCCTAGATCCGCGCCTGAAGTCGTTAACTTTAAAAGAAAAAGCATGACAGAAGCCAAACTGATGTCTACAAAAACTGAAGTAGGAAAGTGCTAATGTGTTTGCTGTAAGTCTGTAAGAGCTACAGTCTCAGTCAAAATGGTTGGGACACTTTGGGGTCTCCTTGTCCCCTCAATGTTGGTGTACAAGATGTGGTGACCGAACCGCCATGAACAACTATTTTTGTCTGAGACTGTAGTAAGGATTTCTGTCTCTGCTATATTTATGACCACAAGAAGAACGTTGTAAGTCACCGGATATCACTAGTACAAAGCTCAATTAGTGCTAACAAAACATAAATTACTGATTTAAAGCAACCACTTAAAGATGTACCAAGAAAGCAATTTAACCATGAAATCTTCATCCACGATATACTACGGAAGAGTTCTGTTGAGAGCAAGTATACTCGGTTATAACAGATGGTTTCTTGGTTTATTGGAAACAAAAACTTGAATGGAAGGATAAGTTTCGTTATATTTCGTTAATCATTATATATTTCATATATTTTAACATATATTTTTTGTTTTTTTTGATACAGTTTCGTTATCTGTTATGTACAATTTCAATCTCTACAAGGACTGCATGGGAATGTTCTAAATGAAAAGTTTTCAGGATCTCAAGTAGAAGCAAATTAATGCCGCCTAATTCTCTGGAATATGCAGCCGTCCGCTGTCTTACTAATTATTTAAATGTCCTGCGATCTGTCGTTATTTAACATTGGATTGGGACGCGATATTTTCGATGTAGTCCAGTTCCTGTTTATAACGACTAGTAAAAGAACAACAGCTTTACTTCTATGAACATGGTTTTTCCACTAATGTAGTAACGCAAAAGTAACAAATAACTTAATGGAAACAGCACTGAAGAATGGGCAAAGCGGCCGTTTAAGTGCTGACAGACTGCAATTTCGTGGTTTTCAATGTTGTCGTTGTTGCTGTTCATTTACTGATGTTTTACAATTTGCCGCTCCGGTTGTACCAAGTAATTGTGATTTTTAGTCAGCTGTTTAGTCGCTAATAAAGATGATGTGTGATGTATTCACGAAAATTGCAGGGCCTTCCGAATAATCTCCTTCACACTACTAAAACTACTCAGTCCATATATTTTATTTCGCTTTACATTTTTAATTATATTGCAAAACAACACTTAAGATAAAAAAAAAAGAATGGGGCATTCCATCACGCAATCATGGATCCTAGACCAACAAAGGAAGCCTGCGTTTGACTGCTGCCTTTTCTTGTTGCTCAGTCCAGCAATAGCTATAGATAAACGTCAAACGACCAAAAAAAAGCAAAGTCGGCACGCCAGTAGCTATAAACTATACGGAATATAAGCGCCATGCGTAAACTGTTGTCATCAAATGTGTAGGTCTTAAGACTCGTTTTAAATTGCGAGGTCTGGGTTTTCTAGGTCTGTGTTTTCGAGGTCTGTGTTTTCTAGGTCTGTGTTTTCGAGGTCTGGGTTTTCTAGGTCTGTGTTTTCGAGGTCTGGGTTTTCTAGGTCTGAGGTCTATGGTCTGTGTTTTCTAGGTCTGAGTTTTCTAGACACCCAATTCTCAGCGCGAAATTATGTAAATTTCAGCGGAAAGTGACCTGTGAACCACGGAAGTGTCGGACGATCGTGTTACAAAACACTGACCAAAGAGCCTGAGGACTCGGGAGTCTGCAAACCGCACACTTACATAGCCTCTCACGCAGACGTTCTTAGTGGTTGTGGGGCAGGAACGCGTGACGAACCCCTTTTGGCGGTTTTATTTGCCGAGTGCGCATACGATATGAGCGGCGAAACCGCAGGAGGTTTTTTCTCTCGGCTTTTTTTCTCGCCTCTTGTTTGCGCGCGTTTTTACACTTGTTTTTGCAGCTTCGCCGCTCGGTCTTCTGCCCTCTCAACAAACAAACTGTCAGCTACACACTGCTGTGTAGGCTTTTAGTCGTAGGCAAAAGGCCAAAGTATCTCGCTGCGCACCAAAAAAAACACTCTGCATGCTAGTATACTTTGTTCGCAGGCTAGCTTTTTAGGGAACTGCAATTAGAAGGTGCGAAAAAACGTGTGGTACGAGGAAAACAGATCTCCGTCTTTTTCTCTTATCTCGCTCTTCCTGGCCTACTAAGCCCTATTTAGAGGAAACGAGTGCATTGTATGCTGGCTATATTTTTACCTACATACAAGTTCGAAAGTACAAAAATCATGACATTAGCGCATAGGCTATTCCGATTCTTTGTAGCACTGAGTGCAAAATTTCAAAGTTTTACATTTCGTAAATCTTAGAAAACACGGCCAGTTTAATACCACTTTTAGCGCTGATTGAGGAGTAGGAGTGTGCTAAATTGTGCTCCAATTATATTATTAGCTGATTGATTGTTCTACTTGATTCTCTACTCTGTCTACTCGACTGACTGTGGCGTCCTGTTATATACAGTAGGGTTTTCCGTAACTGTTGCGTGGGCGGTAACCTGCGTACAGCCGTCCCCGAAATGTTAGCGGAATGAGGGCGGTTGTACACAGTCTACGCGGCTGGATGCTATTTGTTAGATTTGTTTTCGTAAAAAGCATGTTGAAAAACTCCTACGGGCAAATGCGATCGCTGTGCGAGTACGCTGCAAATAAAGCCACATTATTTGTTTTGGGAAAAATGTGCCATTATCGCATTGCGTCTTACCTTGTTTGATTGACTTTCACAAAGTGAAAAGTGAATGAATAAGGATGGGGATGCCACTTCTCTGTTCATAAAAATCGACAGAAAATGGTGCTATTCTAGGAGGGTTATGTTGATGTGACTACGCCCAGTTTTCTTCAGGAAGCATTAAAACACACTTGACCCGTAGCGTCCAAATCAGCAATTGAAAAATGTCTCTTTGAAACTGTCTTATACAGAGGATAAATTTGATTATTACGATATTGTTGTTCCGAAAATAATGAAACGGCGGCCGGCCTTTGGTCAGGGGCACCCAACGTCAATTTTCGGATAATATCTGTTCGGAAGACGATTTGAGATCTAGAATTTTCGGAACATTTGTTGTATAGGTAAAATTTCTTGTTTGCCTGCCTCTCCTAGGATTTTGAATACCTAAAAAATGGTATAATTGCCCATTTTTTAACGGACTTTGACCCTAAAAAGGTCACCTAGAATTTTCGGGAGCCTTTTGTCTGGCTAAAATTTTGAAACGGTCACTTTGATCCCTATAATTTTCGGATTACTAGACTTTCAGCTAGGAAATCCAAACAGATGAAAAATTTTTAGGGGATAAAAATGTGCCTATATCTACCGTTTAAATGCTAAAATACGTTCAACAATGTTATGATTAAGTGGTTTTGAATTATATTCTCGATGAGTGCCCCTGGTTGGTGTTCCCAGCCAGTCTTGCGGGTGTTGAACTCTTCGGAAAATATCTGTTCGAAAGACGGTTTGAGATCTAGAATTTTCGGAACATTTTTTGTAAAATTTCTTGCCTGCCTCTCCTAGAATTTTCGAACATCTACTTGCTTACTTCCTTGCTTATTTCGAGCGAACTCGAACTCCATTAACTAGCTTCATCCATTCCTTCCGGTTTCGAACATCTGAGAAATGGTATAATTGTCCATTTTTAACGGATCTGACCCTAAAAAGGTCACCTAGAATTTTCGGGAGCCTTTTTTCTGGCTGAAAGTTTCGAAAAGGTAAGTTTTGATCCCTATAATTTTCGGATCACTAATCTTTCATCTAGGAAATCCGAACAGATGAAAAATTTTTAGGGGATAAAAATATGCCTATATTTAAGTGGTTTTGAAATATATTCTCTTTGGGTGTCCCTGCTGAATAGAGATGTTCAGTTGTGCGTTTTACCACCCACATCACCTGTCTTGCAACAAATCAACTCCTTAAAAAGTCCCCTTTCCTGGGTTTCCGAGTCACTCAGACAGGTTATTGTCCAGATTAAAACTTAGAAAGTGCTTTTTATTATCAAAAATATATTTATTATGAAAAATCTGACCGATTTCCGTAAAACGGTGGAAACCGGTGTGGATTCGTGCCTGCGCGCAACATCGCTTTTCAACTCGTTTTGCAGTAATGTTGTGAAAACAAAGTTGCACATTTTTGTTGTCCGTTTTACCGTAGACTGCAAAACAGTCGGTTTTTTCCTCAAAATCAGTAAAGAGATCGGCGAAGCGTGGCGTAAGAGTCTTACTCACGCGAACCGCGCGAGCCTAGCCTCGTTCCACTCGTTTTGTTTGACTGCATGCTCGCGCGCGGGTGTACTTGAATACGCAAAAATGCGGGCTGTTTTGCAGTGTAGTTTTACCGAAGTTTTATGTAATTGCTTTCTTTTGATGACCTTATGAATTTCCATACAAGCTGGCCACGAGAGATGATCGCGGAGCTGGAGAATAGAGACTTTAAGATCCAAAGACGCCGACGGTAACGAGAACTTCAAAAAAAAAAAAAAGGAATAAGTTTTATTAACAACAACTTTGCACGTGCACCACACTGTTTTGTACATTTCTCTGCCCGTTTTTGCATGACTACGACGTGAACATGCCTAATTTCGCTTTTTATGGAGGACGTAAACAAGCAACGACGAAATGTCATTTCTCTTTCTGTACTTGCATATGGTACCTAGGAATTCAACTCTAGGAGGGTTGGCCAACATTTGACAAAGTCAGTGGGTAGGAATAATTGCGATAAAGACTGAAATAACGCAAATTCACTTTTTAAGCGACGTTCTCATTAACGTCGCGTCGTTGGATCTTAAAGTCCCTATGGCTGTCCCTTTTCTAACGCGCTTGGCAGCCTCGGCTAAATAAAACGTCTTCATTTTAGTGTAGGGCTTTTGCACATGTAAAAGTAACAAAAACTAGAAGTACCAGTATTCTGCTGTTATTATTTGTTGTATCAAGATGATGTATTTGTTATGTATTTGCAGCGGAAGGTCATGTTCATGTGATGTGAAAACTATCGATCCTGACTTAACAAAGCCTTTATATTTGTCGTCACCATTCTCTCAAGTGAACAATCGAACGGACACTTTTCTGTCTCCGCGGACTGGACACGAACAACCTTACTGGTATTCCCCAAGTTACTTTGGGTGGCAGTATGTGACCAAGGGTAAGTCATGTATACGTACCTGGTGATAATTTGTTTCGTGACAATGAACATTTGGCTTTTCATCAACTTTGAAACCGCCTGCGACAATTGTTATTTTTGATTGAATGACGTTGGATCAAACAATCGTTTTTTTTCTCGAATATTCCGGCAAGTAAAAGTCGTTCAGTATCTCGCAAAAAAGTGTATAGATCGAAGATTTTCATAGTTCTTCTCTCTAAAGCAATATGTAAAAGGTTTTCAAAGGTTTCATACTGCTAAAGATGTAAGGCCCCTCACCCATTCTAGATTTTATGGGAAATACACAACTAAGAAAAAAATCTCAGTGGAAAATAAGCCAACCCGATCGATGACGTTTTCTCCGAGAACCCAGTGAAGATATAGATTCAACTGGGTCTGTTGATTTGGCTTCTGAATGAGCACTGTCTAGTTACCACTTACAGCAATGATATGAATAGTAACAGACAGCTATACATTTTCAGGTTAGAAATACGATAGAGCTAAATTTAACGGGATTCATTCTTTCAAAACTCGTAATTGCATATACCTTATTTGTTTATCAGGTGTTTTCGCAGCTTAATTTACTGTCTCCGGGGAAGAAAATTTTATTTGTAAAGCGAAGCGAAAGTAGAGCCTGTTTTCCCAAACAATTCCCCGTAACCGTAATAGAAACCGTAGTTTATGTAGAGATTGATCGGTCTAGAGAAGGTGTAAGCCACCCGCTTTTAATGCAGCTTTCCTCCTCTTTGAGGTGAAAAAGAAAAGCAGTTACTAAGACCATAGGTAGTTATGAAACTTTCTATTCTCTTCTTCAGCAACACATATTGCTCACCAGTCGTCATTTCTCCAGTTAAAATATGCGTCATCTGTGGATTTTCAACCGGAGCGTTACCACGCAACTGCGGAATGTGAGGTTGCTGCATGCCACAATGCAGCGTTACAGAGCGCCACATGTCACGCAACGCAATATCAGTGCATGGCATGTAAGGGATTTGATTGTCAAACTACCGGATGTCAAAGGTGTCAAGTGTCCGATTACCAAATCGAGTGTAAGGGGGGATGTCCCTCAACGAGACATGGATGTACAGAAAGACGCGTAACTAAATATCTCTCCACTGAATGTAAGGCAATGTCAGAATATCATAAACCTGGATATCAAGACAAGGAATGTCACGCAACTGACTATCGGGGTAACAATGGTCACGCAACTAGATTTCACGCTTCAGATTCAGAAAGTGGAAAAGCTCAAAGAGTTGATGGATTGGCCTACGATCACGGTGAATTTCCCAAGATAATTTCGGTACACTCTATGCCTGAGACCCAGCCCATCATGCAAGAAAATGCCCATATTTTTAATCCTAGTAATGACATTCGGTCCAATTTCGCTAAAACAGGACTCGACGTGTCAAGTTCCTTTGCTAACCAAGCTTCTAAGAGATGGACGTCTACATGTTCTGAAAACTCGACAACAGTAAACAATGAATGTACAAAACAACTAGGCCCCAAGACATGCGTCAATGTAGAATGCCATGAAAATGATGTTCTTAACAAGCTGACGTCGGATTCTTTATGCAACATTAGGAGTGAATCGAAAATTGTTCAATTCTCAACCACGGAACATGCGTCCAGCCATCACTTAATGACCACGATTCTCAAGGATGACTCTCAATCCAGCGCATCTCAAAGTGCTTGCGATATTGTTCCAAATACAGCATTTAACCGTGCTAGTGACTACAATAAAGAAAACAGGGAGCTATCTGCGATCAACACAAATAATTGCGACAGTCTAGGTGCCGAAAGCCTCAAGGTAAGAGTATTAATAGTTTTATTTTCACTAACTTAATTTTGATACTTAACCAATATGCTTTTCGTCTATGGCAGTTTTTTGGTTTAGGAAAAAATAGTTTTGTAATTGTTAATTGATAATTTTGTTCGGGGGTGAAGCATTTCAATTCAAGGGAACTGAGTAAATTTAAGAAGAAATGAAAACATGTAAAGGGCTTTAGACGTCTATGGCTGACATTTAACCTCAGTGGTTCAATAGGATCCCTTATATAGCGCTAGTGTCCGACACCATTTTCCCCTCTCGCACCTTCCTTTTCCATTATTATGACGTGAGACCCTTTATGTACGAAATTGTGCCGTTCCTGAAAGTCTGTGTACAAGTCAATCTCGACCTAGTCGAGAATGTGTACGAGTTTTCAGTACTCCTCGACCTCTCACCCTAGATTTCCTCGTGATTGTTCTGAGATAACTGAAAAGTACTGCCTTTCATTTTTTTTTCAAAGCGCTAAAGGGAGTTTAAGATACCACGACGGCGACGTCCACGAAAACGTCGCTTAAAAAGTGAATTTGCGTTCTTTCAATCTCTATCGCGATTTAAAACTCCAACTCATTTACTTTGTCAAATGCAAGCGAACTCTTTTTGAGCCGAATTCCTAAGATTTAGAACGATATTCTAGTTCAGAAAGAGGAAGAAAATTTAGCCGTCGCTTGTTTACGTCCACCATAAAACGTGAAATTAGGCATTTCCCCGTCGTAGTCTTGCAGTTACGGCAAAGAAATGTACGAAAGAAGCGAGAGGCACCTGCAGAGTTCTTGATTTACCTATTCAACCAATTGCGTTTTGACGTTCTTGTTGTCGTCTTCATCGTGGCATCTTAAAGTCCCTTATATTTTTCACACAAGGAAAAAAAACGAGCTGTGCACTGAATCTCTTTCTAGAAATTCTGCTCTATAAACTAGCATTGTACACTTCGGCAACTCCCCCCTGGCAAAGCTGGCCTTCTCTTTTTCTTCTTAAAGCTGGGGGACTGGGTTTGAATTTGCTCCAACCGGAAAGAGATCACCATTTAGGCTAAGTGAAAACGGACGCAACAAACCCAGCTATATAGGCTTAAGTAAAACCGAAGTAAAAAAGATAGGTTGTGTTTGAAGCGTTCTTTTACTGGAAGAATTTAAATTTACTTGTCTTGAAATATTTCTTAGCTGATTTAGGTTCTAGTGTAAAGACTACCTATGTTGGTAGTTGTTGCGTCCTTTTGTACGTAGCTCAAAGTTTGACTGGTTTCAAACATTGCATGCAGCAACTCCCAACAGCATGCAACAACATGCAACAGGGTGTGCAAACGGACGCAACATGTAACATCGTGATCCAACAATATTGCGTCCGTTTGCACGGGGCTTTACTTTAGTTTTTCTTGATGGGCCACTCTCCTCAAAGCCCTGCGAGGTTCTGCGATTCACGTATTTCTAGTAATTTAATTTGTTTTTAGATCCCATTCGGTACTCCCAGACCATTAAATTTTATCCATGGATCGCGAGAGAGTGAACTCAAGACAACTGCTTCGACGGAATGCGAGGAAAAAAATTCCTGGACACAAAACCGCGCACAGTTAGTGATGCTAAAGAAGAGAACTATGATTCAAAATCGCATTCAGAAAATCAGCAATATTCAACAACGTTTGATTAGCGAGGATCAAAAACAGCCGACACTTCTAGTTAAGAAAACTGCGACACTTGAGAAAGAAATCAAGCATCTTTCTAACGGCGCAACGGATATCGATGGTAGTGAAAACTTCATTCGAGAAGGAAGCCCTCAGAAAACGACGCCCGTCAAAATGTCATCGCTACTACCAAATAAGGAGTTGACGCGCGAAGCAAGAAAGACGGACGCAAAATTCTCTCATCAAACAAGTGAAGTGGTAGCGATGAACGCTAGAAATAGCATGAAAAAGTCTATCATTTCCAAGCAGGCAGATGAAAAATTATCGATGGATGGCTATCGTATGAACTTATTTGAAAAAATGGAGCTTTTGAATGGAAAAAGTCGAACCTCACCCCCAACTGGCCTAGCAAGTGAACTTACCAACTCCCCAGTCGGCGAACTGCGAAAATCTCGAACGTCGCACACAAAATATGGAAGTGTTTCCGAAGGACCCTCTAAGGGTATCGCTGAATGTAATGCCTCTGTATTTAGCGTGGTGTACTCTGGAGATACCCAACAGTCAAAACATAGGCAAATTTTGGATAATTCTTCAGGCGACTGCTCTGATAGCATTACTGGGGAAACGTTTGAGCATTCAAGTTCAGATGAAGTTAAGTTTAATGCATTTTATCCCGAACTGCCTAACAGTTGGTCATCAGCCTACATCTCCGAGAGCCAGATCGGGAATAAAATTAAAGCAAGCCGCGGAGAGCTGAAAAGAAAACAGGGTGACATCCATGCGTTAAACGTTGAGTCTCTCAAACGACGTTGTAGAACTTTGCCGCGAAAAGTTGTCAGGATAGATGCTCTAAAGATGAATTTCGACGTAACAAGTCTGGATGACCTGCCGATGTCGGAAAGGGAAAGAAAAGGTAAGCAGTGGAAAAATTGCTGTGTGATTGCTTATAAAAATGTCAACAAAATCACTTCGTTTTCCCGTCATTTTGTATAAACGCGCCAAAGAAATTATGCAACAATATGTTGCTGCCAGCAAAATTATAGGATACGACGCTCAAAATACCAGAGATTTAAAAAGCATAGTTTTTTTAATCCTTAGTACCGAGGTTTTTTGGTGGTTTCATGGTATTTTTTCCATGCAAATCGTTACAATTTTCTATACGTGCCTAAATGATAGTCGTTTGCACGTGACGTGCGGTGGCCACGTTCGTGGTCAAGAAAAAAAGTATCTCTCCCCTCTGAGAACTAAATGCTATTTTCATGTAAATTCTTCGAGAAAAAGTGCTATTGTATTCACCCCCAACATGGCCGCTTTGTCACGTGGCTGCAAATGTCAGTCACCTCAAAATTCTCTTTTTTGGCTTATCCTTCCATCTCTGGGTGTTCTTCAAGTTGCAACCCATAAATTTTAGATTGTAATTTTTTTTAGCTAATATTTCCATCTCTGGGTGTTCTTCGAGCTGCATCCCATAAATTTTGCTTAAGGAAGGTCATGTTACTGCGAGCTGCTAATTTCTATTCAAAAGATTTGATAGGCTCTATGTTCAAGGTGGATTTTTCTCAGTGTATTAAATGTGGTGATTGCAATCAATGTTGTCATTCACAATGACCTATACAGGATTTTCGTTTCTTTTTACCATCTATCATTTATAAAAGAACCTGGGAGATAGCTACTGCTTCACTCTAACAAGCAACACTGTGCAGTTCTTATTCTTTGTGTCCACTGGGAAGCAGATTGTGTACCTTGCTACCCAAATTAATTTTAGCAGCATATTTCTTTATTGTTCTCGACTTACTTGCTCGCTTCACCAAGCAAAAATAGAGGCTGACTGTAAGGAATGAGGAGAGGTGAGTTTTAATAACCAAAAAAATTCTGATCGCATTGTTTCATGTCATTAACACCAACTGTTTTCCTTTAGAATGCAAATACAACCAGGAAAGTCTTTCACCTCAGAGTGGAGAAACTAAGGAGAGAGATGAAATTATTGTAGGCTGCAGTGATGTCAACTTGTTAATGAAACCTGGTTGTGAGTTCAACACCCCAAAAGTGTACGAGGATGAAATTTTACAGAGAAATATGGAGTTGCGCGAGAGCAAGATTAGTGACCTTCTTCGTAAACAGAGAGGACTGTTGCAGTCCCTGGAAAAAAAGACTACCAACATGATGACATCAGCGTAGTGATTCTTGATAATAATTTCTGGGCCTAAACTGAATTTGTTTTAGTAACATACTGTTTGTTAATCTTTCCATGACTTTTAGGATAAAGGCATTTTGAATGTTGTGTTTTAATGGAAAGGAACGGGGGACACATGATCTATTGACACTTTACTTAGTGTTCCAAGATTGAAATTCCAAATTCAAGATAAAATTTAAACTATAGTCATCTCTGTCCAAGATGAAAACCACTCGGAGGGTGCATCTTAGAGTAGCCTGTATAGGAGGCGTTTGTGAACAAATTATTGATTTACTAGTGACTTGAGTGGAAATTAGAGAAGTGTCTATCTTACAATGAGTCAGACAAAAGCACTGAAGAATGGCATGGATATATATTCCAGTTTTCTTTCGATGTCAGTCTGAAGTACCATTGCAAGTTAGCTGGTCACTGCTAATAATATTTTACCCACCCAATAAGCCCCAGATGACAAGACTGTGGGTTAAAGGGTCAGATAAAATTAATGGCAAAGAAAGTTATTTTAGATCAGCATTCATCAACATGTCTTAACTCTTGTAGTAATACTTTGGTTACTTACAATGCAAGCTCAAGATGATCAAAAATTGTTTCATGTTCAAAAAGCATATTCCCATGAAGCAGCGGCCATTTAAGCGCTTTAAGAAAACCTCATTGCTGTGCTTTAAAAAAATGTGTTTGTGTTAGTTCAGAAACAAGGGCAAAATTTATGAAAATCATTCACGTTATTTTAGATTGTGAGTGTGGGAGACAATAAAGCTTGTTGTTGTTGTCATTTTTTAATATGATAAACAGTTGTTTTGTAAAGCATTTTCCCCACAATTATTAACCACAGAGTTGTCAAGGTCAAATTTACAGTTTGTTTTGGTTCTCCTTAATCATATTACTGATTTTTTTAATCTAAATTAATCACTATTAAAACACTTTCTTTGTAAGAATGACACATTGTGATGTTACAGATATCTTGTGGAAGAAACAATTTGGTAGCCTGGCCACAAACAAAACTAAACCTTGGTTAAGTCCATCTGCAAAACAGTGCTGAAATCCTTGTTGTGGGCCCCAACTTGTGTGTACCAGGATTTGAGTGCGCACCATGGTTGGCCTATTAAAAAGCCATTGTCAATTTGTCAATCAGAATGAAAGGAAATTTGAAACGCACTTCCGGAAAATCATCAAGTCTGTTAGGGGCCCAGAACAAGGATATTGGCGCTGTTTCGCAGATGTTACAAACTTAGGTTACATTATTTGCCAGAGTGTCCTTAGGCAATCTGTTTGTGTAACTGATAAAATCAGTGTACATGTTACAGTCAATTTTTTATTTCAGGTAAGTTTTGTTTTCCTTTTGTTTTTGGGTATGGTAATATATGCAAATGAAGTTGAAACAAAAGAAAAATAAAAATTACCAGAGATAAAAAATTAACTACAACATACATGTTCACCCTAAGAATTTTGCCAGTTTAAGGGCAATTTATTCATATTGGTCCGAACCACGATCATCTCTAAACCAAAATCTGAGTGTTATCTACTATCATTTTATGATTTATTCATCTATTATAGGGAAAACTATTAAAGCGCTGTTTAGTCACTATTTTCAGAGACACTCCCAAACAATTTCTGTGGACTCGAAATAAGATGTTCGCCACTGGTACATAAAAATGTGATATTTAGAAACCTTACAATAGTCACTAAGGGATTGAAACTCTGACATGAGCATCCTGAGGTTCTTTTCTTTCAGATAACAGTTAATTACTTTCTGTGCATTCCTTCTCTAATATCTTGTGTGAAGATTTCTCATTTTCTCTTCCTTTGCTCTTCTACTGTGGCACAACTGAAAAAAAGATGAGTTATGTTACAGGAACTGGGTGCCGTCCTTTGATAACTGCACGCTTTCTTTTTATTTTCCCAACCCTTTTCCCTGTCACAAGAGGGGACAAGGAATCTCTCAAACACTAGTCTCCCAAAACGTCCCCCGCCCCTGCCCCTCTCAAAAGGTATTAGAACATAGCTTCGCTCGCCATAGGTCCATTTTGCACGACCGTAAACTAAATTTCGGGCAAATTCAACTGGTCAAAGAAAAAAGGGCATTAGTCAAATAGCAAAAAAAAGAAAAAAGCGCAGAGTGATATGAAAGATGTATGATCGTCACAAGTGGACTTAGGTGCACTTTAATTTTAAGTGTCACTGTGTTGATGGTCGCTTGGAGATACGAAATTTCTCTTCTCGTGTTGAAAAAAATATTTCACGAGTGAGCGCAGCGAACGAGTGAAATATTTTTCAACACTAGAAGAGAAATTTCGTATCTCCGCGCGGCCATATAATATCCTCTATATCTTAAATCAAAATCAGTTATTCGGTTGTACAGGGAAAACCCCCACGGCAGCACAATTTCTGTCAGGGCCGGATATGAATGAGTAGACATTCCTTCACTCATAGCATGATTTCTCCCAGGGTTCGTTCAGAGACTTGAATTCTTACAAAAAAGTTTTGAGATTCCAGACCTGCAAAAAAGCTGGAAAATGAAAGGATGGAAAAAAGGTTAACTGTATTTCTTTTTCAAATAGCGGTAGTCAAATCTTTAAAATTAAGTGTCTTCTGTAGCCAAAACATTCAATGACGTAAAAAGAGAATTTTCAGAACTCCGTAATGCGCGCCTCGCATTATGGTTACTGTTCGTTTGCAGTGCATCATAGGAAAAGTTTGTTTCCTGAGTATGTCGAGGTTTCTATCGATCCGGTGCCTATTTCATAACCTTGAGTCCATCTGGAAAAAAATTATTGCCTTGGATTTGCATCAAAACTCTGTACGAACCCTGTGACCCTTGCGTCTGTCCCTTACCCGTACAATTACTAATGGTTAGCGTAATCTGTTATCTCGCCACCAAGAAGTCGACTCGCGGCCAACCAACTCGCCACCAAGTAATGACTCTGTAATAACTCACGTAGGATTACTTACGTAGGATTTTTACGATTTAAAATAGTCAAAAGTTGCTAAACCAAGACCAAAATGATGGGTTTCATGGTTCCATCGCACTAAATACCGGTACTCGTTGGTGGCGAGATGACCGTAACCACGGTTAGTTACCTTTCTTTTCTCTAAAAATCTCTGTATAAATTCTTCTGGCGTTATTTGTTCTATAGATGATAAAAAAAGCTGAATAAATTGACAATGGAAGTACAGAAAAATCCTGCTAATGTAAAACATAATAATATCGATGTTTGAGAGAAGAAAATACAACGCAAAAATAATGTAAACCACGAAGGAAGTTGGTAAATGTAAATATAAATATAAAACTACGTATGGTTGACGGAAGAAAACAAGTAACTACATAAGTATCCCTACAAGCCTGTTTCGTGGTTGCCCACTCATCAGGGGATTTTAATGAGAATAACTTTACCATTACTTATATACTAGACTGATTTACATAATTTATTCAGGGCGAGGTTCGTTACATCAGTTGTTGCGCAAGAGGGCTTTGTTTACGAGTTCATTACGTTTGTTAAGTGTAGAGAGTTCAGGTCGGCAGATGATAAGGAATTTTTCTTTAAGACATAAGTTGCATCGTTTGCTTGAGCTGTTGTACGGCAGGTGTGAAGATAGAATGCGCCAGGCGATAGAGTAGTTGATGTTGTTTTCTTTAAAACTACTGATTTATATAGATGTTCATCAGGTAGCTCTAACTATGGAGTCTGAGGACAAAATGCCATGGTGTGGGCATTCAGGCCAAACAGAAAATCTAGTAATTTTTTTTATGCCCGCATCTGTTGTTCACACAAAAGGAAAGTTGGGATTATTCTTGAAAATTGATTCTGGCCCTCTTAGGAGTGAAAGCAACTTCAAAAATCAGGGATGTTTAAGAGTAGAAAAATTAGAACAGGTTGACCAGCTAATAGACATCACGACAGATCTATACGAGCTGTGTTAACATGAGTTATTTATTACCCTGTGAGCAGAGGCCCTTCGATCTTAGGGCCTCTGCTGGCAGGGTAGTTATTGATACTCACTTGAGAGAAATTCATCTGCAATGGCCTTTGAAAATGATAAAAGAGACAATGGTATTTAGTACACAAATGATTTTAACCTCGGAGGTTAAAATAACTTTAGAACTTGCTACACCTAAAAATGAATTACTGTTTTTCTAGTTAAAACTACGGGTCCAGAAGATGAAGCTGGACATAAGAGAATCCCCAGTCTTTTATTTAAGTAATTACAATTTCCTATAAAGCGATCACGGCCTTAGTATCAGATATCTTACTGAAAACACTTGTTGGGTGTCACCGAAACTTGTTAAGGGTGCTTTAACTTATAATGTTTCCTAGGGCTGCAAATATACACCGAGGAATTGGTAAACCCAAGAGCCATAATGGCTCTTGATTCATCTTATTTGAGATTGGGGGACAAGATCGGCAAAAAAACGCATGCGCACTTATTTTTCAAATGTCAACTGTACAGTCTTGTGCTCCCACAATGTATCATTTCGCGTATTTTGTCGTGGCCCTTTTATCGCCATTTGCATCGTATCGTGATACATAATCAGTAGACTGCGAGCAGCCTCTCTCAGTTTTCTTCAGATTTAGTCAGGGGAGTGCACGCACGTGCGAGACGCGAGAAACGAGGGCGTGCCTCTCCCGTCTCGCGCCCTCAGTCACGCGCGTGGTCATTTGCCGGTCTCGCGCGTTTTGCTCGACAGACCAAGGAAAAAACAGATGCCGTTCGCTATTTCTAAATGTTGTCGTATCGAGGCAATGGATAATAACTGTGGACAACAACACAATATTATTATGATAGCGTATGAGAATACACTCTTAATCGAAGCACGAACACACCGCTAGGAACTTGCCTCTTCTCCTTGTACATATAACTACTAACCAGTGCAAATTCCTGGGAACAAAATAGACTGATACTGAAATACAATATAAGCATCACCTGTATCAATTCCCTTTGTTTTTTGGTATTGTCATCGAAGTCCCGTTTTAGTTCAGATCGACGTTCACACTGCAAAACAATCATCAGAATTACACAGTTTAAGGTTTTTTTTTTTCCACAACCAGACTCTCGTAAGCTATACGGTTAACAGAGATCACTGTCGCAGATAGCCTAGGAACTAGTCGCGCGAAAATGCTTGCTACACAGCCTCGCAGGCTCCATGTAGGTCGCAGAAAGAGACCCTTGCAAATCCTATGAACTTTCGGTCACTAGTACAGAAGTACTACCACTGATCATGAGCCACAGGAGACTCGTAGAAGTAACAGGAATTAAACTACAATCTCAGACAAAAACCTTGAAACACTTTGGAAAACTGCTCCCTCTCTTTTTTCCCCTCCATGTTGTTGTAGCCAAATAACTTTGCAATCACATCTCAACATTTGCAGAGGAAAAGGGACGTGCATTTAATAGGTGTTTCAAGGATTTTTGGCGAGGATTGTCGGTCCATGTGACCATATCTTCGATAGGTGGCATATTTGCAGTGATATAAATGTCACGGTGATTTTTTTCGTTGCACATTGTTCTGTTTTCTTTTCTAATTAAGAGAACATGTAAAGTAAATATTCATACCTTTTTTAAAAGTTCGTCTTTGCTGTTTTCTAATTTTGGTTTAAGGGACAAATTATATCCTGTAGGAGAAAAGGGAAAAAGTAACATTCATTACAGACAAATAGCAAAGAGAAACAAGGTAACGACTTCTCGATTTAGTAAATTGAAATGCGATTTACATGGAAAATATCAAGCACCTTTAGAACCGCATTTGAAGAAATGTAAAGAAAAAACAAGGACAAAAACAAAGTCAAACATGGCCTCATATTTCTGAGCGTCTTTCATTAATTTTTATTAGTTCAAAAAGCCGAAAACAAGGAGCTTAGAGAAGCTTTGTTCCACCACACAAACTGAGAATAACCCTTTGATTGCTTTGATAACGTGGTGTCTGCAATATCAGGATGTCCACTACGGAAAAGTCAGGTGTCTCTGATTACATGTGAGTGAAAATAATTATAAACTTATGAGGGCAAACATGATGAATTTGAAGTAATTACTTGCTATTTCTTCATTTTTCTTCATTGTTTCTTCTTTTTCAGCTTCTAGCTTCATCACCTGTCAATAAAAAATACATGTACATTTGTTACTACTTTATTTCAAAGCTATAATTATTATTTTTTAAACGATGTATTTGTTAAAAGGGCTATCGTAAATTGCAGCTTATAAGTGAAGCCCTAGGGTTATACATCTTCGTAAGTTCCTGCTCTTTAAAGCTCTTTAAATTCAATGACTTTTTCCATGACCTTTTTAGTTTTCCAAGACCTTAGGTTTAGTTGTCACTTTAAAAATTTTCAAAATTTCCCTTGTTTTGGGGTATTTTTTTTACCTTAAACAGTTCAACAGACACAAACTCTGTTGTCTACCAAATTGCGTGTCATTAACGCTGTTTAATTACTCTTCTCTATCTTAAGTTGTCCTTGCTTTATCATCTGCAGTAACTAAACTACCAAACAAAACTTTAATTTTCCAACAGTTTTAAGGACTGACTATTAAATACCATGACTTTCCAGGCCTGGAAAATGGAATTCTTAAATTCCATGACTTTCCAGGTTTTCCATGACCAGTGCGAATCCTGAGACAGGCTTATAAACGGAAGGGCTTATATCTGGGGGTGTTATAACCGTAAAATATCAGATGCATTTTTTTGGTAACAGGTAGTTGGCCCTTATAGATGGGGGCATGGAGGTGGGAGGGGGGTGCTTATAAGCAGATGGTTTACGGTATGTCACGCTTTTTGCTTTCTTTTTGAAGAGGTAAATGTGTCTTCGTATCAATTGTTATTTTTCAAAGACTATATTCAGGCATTAAAACTATTTCTTGTGGTCTGTTACTATGGATGGCAAGGATAGAAGTGGATTAAAACTTGAAAAAGTTGGCCAAAAATGTCATGGTTAGTGCTCCCTGATGGAATTATGATGGAAGTTTCATACATTCGTGTTGACGTGATAAACTCTGCATGGTAAAGGCACTAAGCAACGACTTACGCACAAAATTGACATAACACAGCAATGTCCCTTTAAGTACAGCAATGTCCCTTTACGTACCCATAAAAGTTCTTTTGTCTTATAAGTATTTATAGGATATGTATGGGAAAAAATGCTGAAGAGCATGGCCAGGGTCTTCACCAGTCTTCACCAAGACTGACACTTGAAGAATAAATCATTGTTGCAATTACAGTCAAGCCAGGTCAAGCATACCCCGCAAGATGCCATTAATGAATTTATTATTCAAAAGTATGAATCCGTTGGTAGTCATGGTAGTTGTAGATGTCAGATTCATCTCTGTATTCTTGCATGCGTAACAAGCAGTGAATTCACACGCGAGGCAGTTATTAAATTTCTACCAGCTCATTTTCCCAGAATTTGTTGTAAATGTCCTCAAAGCAATTTTACCCATTCAAAGATTTTCAATCTGACAGATACAGAGAATTTCTTTTAAAATAATTATTCTCTGCTCATTTTGCATGCAGGAATGCAGATTTGAATTTGACACTAGTTATGGGAATGAATACTGGATTCATTTTTCAATAATCAATGAATCACTAATAGAATCTTGAGGGGTATGTTTGACCTGCCTTGACTGTAAAGATTAATAACTTACTGATTCGTCTTTTGATACAAAACTTTGCATAAGTTCAGGTTTGTCATTAAGATCCTTGAGCTCTTCTAGGCTAGGAATAAAAATCAAAATCAATATTGGAGATAGATTTGTTGACATGACTGAAAATAAGACAGTCAGCAACTGCATAACTAGACTAGTAGTTTGTTGGATTACAGTCATGTGAAGGATTTAGTGAGTAGCGAAAAATATAGCCCATGCCAGGCTCTCAGTCAGATAGTAGAGATGTCGCAAAAAAAATTGGAAAATTGGATGCGTGTCCTTTCTCTCCCCAGCTCCTATGCATTTTTTGCACAATCAGTTTTTACAATATCTGCACATTACTATCTTGGAGCCTGGAACAGGCTGCAAGAAATAGCGTCTTCTCTCACAGCTTTGTCGCAAAAGAAGTTTTCTTCACTGGGCAGCCTGCAACAAAACTGCTTGCTGCAATGGCTATATGTATGAGAATTTGTTGGGTATTTCCCTTACCAAAAGGTCAAACAATAGGCTGACAAAACCAACAAGATAACAATACATAAATAAAGTGAGAAACAGTGTATTACTAAAACAGTTAAAGACAACCCCAAATTGACCAGCTTAAACAACATTTGTACCGATTTTCTGAGGATCACATTACTGGTAGTAAACAATATTTTGAAATAAATGTGTAATAAAAAAAAAAAAAAACCTTAAATTCTCCAGCTCGGGGAATGAGCTGACTTTTTTGACTGGAAGAGTGGGCCTGGGTGGTATCGGTGGTCTTGACGGTGAGGTCTGAGTGATCTAGGGAATAAAATATTTGTATTATTTCACACTTTAAATCTGATCTCCATACATTTCCTTAAAGAATTAGTTAAGAGACTTTGATAAAAGATCAAAACCCACTTTATTAACACCCGCTTCATACGGACATCTCATTATTACAGACAGTTTGCTTTGTCCCTGGGGAAAGAAAGCCCTTACATTTTCTCTAAATTCAACCCGCTTAATACGGACACTTTCCATGGCCCCCTCAGTGCCCGTATTAACAGGGTTTGACTGTAATAATACACCTCTTTAGCTTGTATATTTTGTTTTTCCAATACTGGTCATGTGATGATACCTTAGAAAACTGTTTCTTTCAAATTGTGTCTTATTCACGTGCATATCTATGCATAAATTATGAAAAGACAAAGAGTCAGGTTCCCCTGGGACCTCTAATGGGAAAACAAAACATACAAGCTAAAGAGGTCTATTATGACATAATGGTGTTGTTAGGAGAAAATTGATGTTGGTCACTCTTGGGATTTAACGGGTTAATGTGTTTATGGTGAAACCAAACTAAGTGTATCAAGCACTTGATAGTCGCTTAAGGTGGCTGAACACAGCTTCACAGGCAGTCAGCGATAACGTGTGAAGGCATGTGTTTTCAATTAGACAATCAAACATGCTGGCGAAAAAAGCAATGGTACACAAAAGACAATGTCTCAAAATCTACTCATAAAATTTTGTGATATCTGGCAGAATTTTCACTTTTATCATATTTTAAATAATGAGTACTTTAAAATGGAAGGTAAACAGATGAATACAATATTTAGTATATTAATGATTATCTAAAAACTCGTCTGTTAAAGTCTCAGCTGGTAATGATGAATTATAGTAAGCTGTGTGCAAGTTTATAGGAAAATCTAAAGAGCAAAGTTTATGTAAACTGAGCAAAAGTGAAATTTTAAGGTTGTATTCAATCGTTCATGTTGCCATGGAAACTACAAAAATGTCACATTTTACCTGTCAATCAAAATCTTTCGTCAGTATATTTTTCACTTGCCAAGTTTCAGCTTGTGAGCTGCAACCGTTCTCTTGCCATGATTTGGTAAATGACAGCTAGATACTCACAAACTGCCAAAACTTTGTTCAGCCACCTTAAAGAGGTGACAACAACAAGAGAACTCTCTCACTGGGATAGCCAAATGGTGGTTGCCATCACTTGATAGAGGTTTCATTTACAATATTAATCATTTCAGCAATTATCTTCGTACTTCTATTAATGACAGCTTAATTTGCAGGTGACCACAAGAAAGAGGATTTTCCAGGAAAAGTGAAAAAAGGCATTCACTTGTTCGATGAGTCTAAACAAACAATGTTTTGAACCCATCCAATCCATCCATACTTAAGTTTGCCCCATTTATGAGCACGATTTTAAGTAGTTAATATTACTGTAAGTTCAAGAACAGACTCTTGGATAATAAACTTTATCATTTGGGTAGTAAATTAATTTATGCCCACTTACCCAAAGGGTTAGTTATCCAAAAAAATAATTTCGAGCCCTGAATACGTGGCCGCTTAATAGAGGTTCAACTGTACCTGTGAGTTTCCTACCAAGTGTGGCATAGGCCCCATGTTACTGGTAGCAGCAAGTGGTGAATACTGACTACGTGGTGGACTAAGTGATGACAGAGAGGGGGTACTTGAAGGCACTGATGACTGGGGAGTGTACATTGGCTGATAACCAGGAAAGTTAAATTGATTTAAGGCTTGATATCCACTGGTACTTGCTGGGAATCTATGAGAAGTCATTTGCAGAAACAGAGCAAAATTTCATTACATCAGTTCCTCCCAGTTCCAAGGTATTGATCTTGGAAACTGTAAGCAGTCAACAGTCCTGACTCCTAATAAACCAAGATGCCCAGCATCTAAATTCTTTTGTCCAAAAACTATGAATCTTCAAGTAATTAGGGGCAATCAAAGTTCTATAAATGTATTATTCCTTTCTTCTAAGAGTATTTGTTAAAAATTAATACACATGTTAGGGGCCAGCAGCAGTCATTATGTTGCACTGAAGTCAACTTTACATGCATGCCTAAGTTTTCAAAAACTTGGAAAGCCAAAGTTGTTGGCACCTTCTGTTCTCATATTGGAACAGTATTCCAGGCGGGTGCTGCAAGCTATTTTGCATGCAGATCAGCGCCATATGAGAACCAAGGTTTATGCATAAGCCTTTAAACTTACAGTGGTGATGATGCTGGGGCTCCTAGAAACTGAGGAGGGTGATCAGTAAATTCTTTGGCTACATCAGTGATGGCTTTACCCAAGTTAGAATGCATGTAGAACTAGAATATAAAATTGAAACAATATATCATACAACTGCATGTTTCTATATCCCATCCATGTAGGACTTAAGTTAAACCTTTAACAAGTGACGTGTAACTTAGTTTTCTTGTAAATACGCATAATAAAATGGTGATTTAAACTTTGAAAATAGTACATTGATGAAGTGGTTAGCCAATATCAGCTACCTTGATTTTTCAACAAATGGACTGAATTAGTAACAAAAAAATGAAAAAGTAGAAAAGATACTAACATGAACTTTGGGAAAAGGTAAAATAAACAATATTAATTGATTCAACTTGATAGAAAAGCTCTGTACTGACAAAATGGCCAATATACTTTTATGCAAATTGATGCAAGCGAAGACTTGACATATTTATATAATGAACACTTCCTTACATTGTTAATAGCAGGACAGCCCACAACAACCATCTAAAAATGAACAAAAATAAAAAACACAAAGAGAAAAGTTAAATTTACATCTACAGGTAAGTGCAAAATACTTGATACAAACGCTGTGGGAAGCTACCAAATTATTTCTTGATCTGCAACTGAGCAACAAGGGGTGTGATGTCTAATCAGTTGAAGATTACCGTATTTACTTGTGTATAAGTTAATCTCTCACAACCATGATAAAAGTTCTCCAAAAAAGCTCTCAAATTATACTTGGGTCACAACACAAGTTTTAGAGGAACGATATGATGAGGAGGCTTTGGTACACTAAATAATAGGAATTAAGTACTAATTTGCTAAGCTCTTTAAGCAATTACGGGTAAAAAATGTGTCCAATATTGACTGTACATACCCGTGAGGGTACTTTAGCAATGTTTGGGTGGGGATGTGCCACTGTGACCCCCGAACCCTTAGCCTACCCTATAGTAGAATAGACTTCTAAAATCCCTCCTTATCTTAAAGTCGCTATAATTTTCCAGAAATTACTCAGGTTCACATTTTCTTTACTATTAAATTTGCCAATTAAATTTTTTTAGTGTAGTCTAGACTAAAATCTTCAACCAATTGATCAGTTTCCTGGAAAATGAAGCCCTATGACAGCCCCACACTGTCTGATTTTTATACCCTAACCCAGAGTAAACTGCTCGAAAACCAAAACCTTCACAGTGAGAAATTCCTATATACTCCATATTTGGCAGTGAAAACCCAATCACCCCACCCTAGGTGTGGTGTACATAACTACAGGCAAGTGGTGTCAACATATTTTTCATTTTTTTTTTATTAGTTTGAGTCAGTATAAAATCAGTGAATGATGAATCCTACCTGGTCATTGACCCATGGGTGTACCAAGGGTGGAGCAACCTTGACAAGGGGTCTTTCATTTGGAAACTGTGGTGGTAAGGTTCTGAAAAGATAAACACAAAACATGACTGTAATGTTAGGACATACATGGTACAAGAAGTCAAAATGGCCAGACCTTTTACATCTATAATTCAAAACATTATGATCTACACAGGTTTTTAGGACATAACAAGAACAAAAAGAAGGGTAAATTAAAGCAATAATTAAGCACTCAATAACAATAACATTGCACCATGTTTTCAACCTTAGCAAAAAATGTGTTAATATTTTTATTGCCTGCTTTTGTTATGACAGTTCAAATACAGTGAATGTTCTACATGTATGAAGTTCAACAAACTGCTGTAAACTTGACTGTCTTTTACTTTGGTACAGCAGAATTTCAGGGTAGGCACCTCAGTCCATTCTTTTATTAATTTAGGCAGTTTAAATGGTGAAGTTAAATAACTTATCATTGGTCTGTCATAGGAGACACCATGCATAGGTCTAATCCTTTTAAAAGAATTAACTGGCATGGTTGAATTGCTAGTCTTGAAGTGAAGGAAACTGGGTCTAACTCTTCTTTTTCTAGGAAGACAGGCTTATAGAAGACAGAAGGTATGTAATATGTTCTGAAAGGTACAATGGATTTAGCAGGCTGTAAGCAGATGGTGTCACCTGATTTATATTATGGTAACAGGGTCGCAAGATTGAAAACCCCCTTTACTAAAACTGCAGAAAACAATACATTATTTCATACATGTTTAGAAAAATTGTTGAGGTCCCTGACTTGAAAGTAACTCTGTATTCCACATCTCTTTGTACTTCTGTGATACTGCAAATGCAAACACAAAAATATTGATCAACACCCACAGGGACACTGTCATGTATATCTTACAGGTCAAATTTGATTTCAGGCTAAAATTTTTCAACCTACAAGTTGATTCTCAATTTCTTTTGTCTCCTAGCCCTAATTATTCATGAATTAGGACTAGGAAACAAAGGAAATTGAGAATCAACCTGGGTCAAATGAAAATTAACCTGAAATCAAATTTGACCTTTAACATAATTATACATACATGAAATGCCTCTTCTCAGAGTGAGTCTTCAACAATATTTTCAATGCTGTCAAACCTCTTGTAAGCCACCAAACAAAATACAAGATTCTGGTTCTAAACATAGTGTTTTGACTGGGTAAACTTATTTTGGTTTTTAGATATGTGGTTGCTGACAAGGTGGTCACACATGGATGCCCAACTGTATTTCAGACTGGCCTTACTGACAGTTTAAGAAGATAACCAATGTTAACTGTCTTTCAACAATGGTCCTTGAGCTAATACTGAGGTAATTTTGCATAGTTTACAAGTTGGTCTCCTTCGAAGCCATTTTCAGGACGTCATGCATGCAGGATTATAAAGAATTATAACAAAAATTATTCTATTGTTATCATGGACGACATGAAATTTTGCTTAATTTATAGGTAACCACTTTTTACTCTTTTTCTAATCCTGAAATTTCGCTTCTTTGTTTTGGGCTCTGCAAAACTGGGTAAATATTTTGGGTGATCGAGGCCATTTTACAGTTATGGATGGAAGCGAGACTGGAGTTGACCTTGTTTTGATACAAACCTTCCTGCTTTATTATGTAAATCAAGTTATTCTTATGCTAACTAGTATTTTTCAAGGACAATATCCATGACAAAGCAAAGGAGGTTTGTATCAAAACAAGGTCACCGTCAGCCTCACATTCACTCGAAGGCTAAGGAGCGAAGTCCACAACTGTAAAATGGTCTATCGTCGCTCACGAATGATCTAGATCTTGAAAGAAAAATTCTAAGTAAACCTCATAAGTTAAACCTATAAGTTTTTTGTTGGGTTTTGGGAGCTATTGTACCACCATTGTTTTTTTCCGTTGTTGAGCAATAGATGCTATTCTTATTCAATGACATGCAAATAAGTGGCAGGGTATTCTGCAGTTAAGCCGCGGTTTTCCTACAATGTGTAGTTTTTCTGTATTGTAAAACTATTAAGTTAAATTAAATTATAGTACTTTAACGTCAAAAATCCCAGAACAGGCGGAACCTTGCATTATTTTTGGCTTAGCTTACTTGTGAAAAGTTCGTAACGATTCAATCTGTTTGATCCTTTGTTGCTGCAAAGCTGTTGTTGGCGGTAGCTGGGATTTCGATGTCTTTTGTGATCCAAAAAACCAACTCATACTCCCAAAAATGCACGAAAATGAAAAGAAAACATCAGAAGTATTTGGCCTCTATTTGGTCCGCCATTTTGATTTTGAGCTAATAATAAGCATGACATAATGTCAAAAACCGCCGGCCTTGGAGCGTGGGCTCCACATATCCCAGAGCTTTCAGCGATCTACGCGGAAAAAGCCGGCAACGCTAACAAGAACTTAGCGATATATTATTATACATTGTCAGTTTTTCATGCTTGACGATATGACAGGCCCGTGTTAACGTCTGCCCACTGATGTTATCAACCTACGAAATGGGGATTTTACCGGGGAATTTTATCACCGATATTTGCATACGAGACAGTTGATAGCAAGTAATTTTGATTGTAATCCCTTGTTAATGAAACGTTGATAAACGCAGCGTTCGATGAAAGCTAATAACTAAACGAAAATGTTACAGTTTAAACTGATCTTCTAGTTCCAGGAAGTGGAATGTAGTGGGGAAAAAAAGAATAACGTTTCTTTGATTTCCATCCAATTTCTTTTTGTTTCCATTAACTTTTTTCTAGTTTATGAAAATAGAAACTGAACTCATTTGTGAAATTAATATGTTTCGACGTTTACCCCCTATTGGTAATTTTTATCGATTTTGGGACTCGACGTTAAAAGCATGGTACGGATAAATGAAAATTTTACGACTGCCGCGTAAGTAAAAAAGTCCCCCCTCGAAATCGATCGCAAGTCGCGGAGCTGACTGAAAATCCGTAATTTACTGGCAAGGATATTCACCTAGCTACGGAAGGCCTCCCGGTAAAATCCCACTTAACGGCGTTTATTACTCTAGAAACATCGTACATAATGAAAGTTTTCATTTTAGTTTAAACATTTGCATTAATAAATAATGCGAAATATATTTAGGTAAGGCACTTGATGATCAACCCATTATTTTCCTATAAAGGCCTATTTGCCCAGAGTATTTTTGCGTCTCACTTTCGCATAGAAGTAATGAATCAAGACCTCAAGCTTTCACCCTCTTTTGTTCTGTCGTTCAATGCAATTGAGTAATTGTAATAGTTTTGGGAAAACTTAGGCTTGTGTTTCGCGTCTCTGTTTCATTGGTAATTAAGTCGTAACGCTCCAGGCGATGGGTAGACGGTGGTACAGTACTGAGCTTATCAGACAAGGCTCAATTCACTTTAACACGTTCAATCAACATTGCAGTATCACTAGCACGGTCAAACTCGCGTAAATTGCTCTTAAAATATCTTCCCTTTAAGGCACTTTCCAACTCTTAAATTTAAAGATCGCTTCAATTTTTTTATTTATTATTATTTTTTTCATTCCATTTAGAAGAAGAACCTTTTAAGACTGTGAACCAGTGAGAATGAGGCATTCTAATTACCGTGGAAAGATCACATACGTTCTCTTACTCTTTTACTCTTGCAATGAGAGCTCGCCGGGCTATTGAAAAGCAATCAGAGCTATTTGCCGTTGTTTTCAATAAGCACTCCTCACTTTTTATACATTCAGCAGGAGAGAGAATTAAACACAAATAAACAGGTCACAGAGTATAATGGCATGATTTAGGACAAGGCTGAAAATCCCGTAGATAAGGTGTTGATGATTGTAAGGCTTGTAGGCGTCGAACAAAAGGAAAAAAATTAACATTTAAAAAAAAATGCGAAATTTGACAAATATTGGGTTTTGTATACTTGTATTTGACATTTCCGAACCCTCACGAAAGTCAGGGAACGTGTCTTTTTTATCAAGTCAAAGAATCTGATCTGGAGTGGTTTTAACCAACAAGCTGCGATCGGCAAACACTATTGATCGATTATGGATATCGTTTTCTCTCACTTACACCTAGAAGCGTGGGATTAAAGATTATGTTTTCATAGAATCAAGTGCCGAAAGGACACATTGACAGCTAATGACTTAGCTATTACTATAAAAAATGAAAAATTTGCCGCAAAAAATGCCTTGTGATCCGCATTTAAAACGTTTACTTAAGGCACAAGTTTCGCACAAATTTTCCCGCCGAAACCGAAAAAAAAATTCGCGCGCAAAGGAAGCGAAACTTGGCGAAATCAAACTCTCTCAAAATCGGCAAACAGATCATCTTGAACACATTTTACAAACAAACCCTGTGTTATATATAAAATAGACAATGGCTATAATTGAAAGCTTTGATTTTTGGCACTTGCATGGCCTCTTTAAGCCCAATAAATGTCGCGCAGAGTTTACAAAGGCCCGTCGCGTTTTGCCATCTGCTCGAGTTGTTAATGTAATCCGCACGTTTTCCTACTGAAGACCTTTTTGCTGGCATTTTTAGCGCATCTACGCGAAATATCCATCGTTATCCTTGTTACGAACGGCCTAAAAACGATTAGAATACTCTCGATTATGAGTTAGTCGCTTTTATTTCTCTGCATGTTTGCTTAAGACACACTCTAAAGCGGCCCTTCCTTTGAACCGATTGTGTCCCTACCGCGTTCTTTGAGCATCTACAAACATGTAAAACCTATTCGAATCATTTCACCACTGCCTGGTTTATTCGGAAAGCCATGCCTTTCATTCCAGTCTCTCCCATATTTACCGATCAGGCTATTGTGCCGCTATTCAGTTATTGTGTTCCGTGGATGTAATCTTTTGTTATGCAGATATTAGTATTAGAGCAATTGTAATTCATTCACCTTTGTGATTCATTTTATCTCTTCTTGATCGTCCATTTATTTATTTATGTCATCTTTTCCATTCAACACCTCATGTATTTTTTATTATGTTGTTATTCCCGGCTCTTGTCTCTCTGTTTCTTTTATATAATTATCAATATGCGAAAGCAAGATTTACAATGAGTCACTGCTGAGTTTCTGTGAAGAGCTCACTACAGCTGTGTTTTTCACCGAAGCCACGGGATATCGAGCTAAATCTATTGAAGGGGGAGATGTTTTGTAAAGCGTTCTAGGCAGCAATGAGATTACAGATGCTTCCGTTCAAAGATGCATTTGAAGGAAATAATTTTCCTTGCGGGATACCATCTGTTTAGGGTTTTCTGTAATCATTATACAAACGCACCTTCCCTCAACTCAACGCAAACCCAAAGTAAAAGACAGTTCCTGACGACCATGCTATTAGCCCCAATATTATGTGTGTTTAGCTTAGTTACCTTGCTTGAATACTTGTGATCGATAGATTGTCTTATACTGACAAAGTACCAAAACTATTTGCTGTTTTAAACCACACATATATAGTTTACACCTAAACACAAAAGATGTAAACGAACGTCGCTGCCTTTGTTTTCAAGATAGACTGGAAAAACGCTTGTCACTTTACGAGGGAAAACGTTTTAGAGCTAACGGAATTTTTTCATACTTCACGATGAAGGCCAGTGTCAAACAGGCCAACTGAGACAACAAAACTTGACAACAAATTACATTGAATGCTAATTTTAATGTGACAGATCGGTGAAAACTTTGGGTTAGTTTTGTCAAATTTAAATTACAAGTGAAAGTCGCTCTTGTAAATAAAGAACGACTAAACCGTTTGGAATCGCTCTTGTGGCGAAACTGTTAAAAAATATCGAAGTACTTTAGCCACTAACCCTACAAATAAAGTCGAATAAGAATTGCTTCAATATTTCAATATTCACACACTTAGCCTTTATAATATACAAACTCTATACCACGTTGCAATCGGGCAACGATTAATGCGGTAAGAAATTTGGTCGTTAAAAATCTTCAACATCACTATAAACTGAAATGCTTGTCATCAGCAGAGTTGAAACCAAAAGGAAAGCTTGGCATGTTTAAACGCGGATAATAAGATTCTTGCTTGTTCGATAAGAAATAATTTACACCAGTTATTTGCTGTATTATACATAAATAGTTCATCGTGATAAATAGATTTAGAAGTCAGTCACTTGAACTAAAGGAGTAGATAGGCGACCGGCCTCCGTACATCTTGTCCTTGCGGCCACGATGAACAGTTACAAGGTACGGTGTACTGTCCATTCGCGCCCTGAATCGCGTGAAGATGGGAATGGGGATTTAACTGTCCGCCAGGGAGAACAGGCATTCCAGAGGAGCTCAGAAGAGCTGAGCTTGTCGTTGAAGCGGCGCTTGGGTAGAGTGAATGAGGGTAAATTTGCCCTCCCGTCAGCATGTCGGGTCGGACGGCGTTTGGGATCTCAAGTCCGCGGTCAAATCTGGATGGGGTAATGGAGTGGTTCGCACTCGAGTCGAAAGTGTACGCCGATGACACCGGCAGAAACGATCGCGCTTTGCCACTCACGCTTGAAGAGTACGGATCAGTCACGAAAGACGTCGTTGGGATGCCAGGCGGAGTGCACTTGAGCAATTCCTCGGATGTCGGTAAACACGGTGGTAGTGGGAAGGGATAGCGGTCGACTTTCTTGAGGAGTGATTTAGGCTTGCGTCTGGGCCTATACTTGTAATCAGGATGATCCTTCATATGCTGGGCTCGGAGGTGTTTAGCTTCCTCTACAAACGGCTTTTTCTCCACGTCTGTCAACTTCTTCCATTCTGCGCCAAGTTTTTTGCTGATCTCCGAGTTGTGCATCTTTGGGTTGTCTTGAGCAATTTTTCGCCTCTCCTCTCGGGACCAAACCATGAACGCATTCATGGGCCGCTTGACGTGCTCTGCTGGTTTCGTAGACATGTTGACGTGTCGAAGCCTTGCTTACAATGTTGAAAATATTCCAGCTCCTAGGTACTTCTAGGTGGTCGAAATTAAATAAGCTCCGTCGTTCTTGGTGCCTCGTTGAAACTGAATTATACGCTGATTGCTTCACGCGGTAAGATCAAAGATCGCACCTCAGAGCATGCGTGTGAAATAATTGAGTTTCACTCTCGCTTTCACAAAGTATTCGGACCACGCCATTTTACGAAAAGGCTATCCAATTAAAATAGAGGAAGTTAGATTTGAAATTTTTCTTCAAGTGCTCCCTTGGAAATGTTTAGCAATATTACCTTGATTGCCGTCTCAAAGAGATATTTGGATTTTGTAAATAATTTTCTATTTTGGTTTAGCGAAAGTACAATAGGTAAACTTTTGTTTTCCAGCCATCAATTGCTGAGCTATTGTTCACAGACAATGCACTCAAAATTCAGATATCTTTATGCTTTCTGCGGCCCTTGTGAGGCCAGCCGCCAGGAACAAAAGAGAGTATGTTTTTCTTTTCAAACTTCAATTCCGCACCTCCAAAGCTCCTGGCGAGAAGTTTGGGCAAACAGCGCGTTAATATTCAACTTGCACTGGGAAATTATTAATTTATATTGAAACTAAAGCAAAGTAAATATCCGATTCCTTCTGTGGGTCTGTCATTTTCTTACGACGAATTGCCTTACAAATGATCAATTATCGAACCTTTTATTCGCCCGTTTAGCATAAGAATACATTTCGCTTATGAAAGCTTTTGTCTCGACGTGAAATTGCTAACGACAATGTCGACGAGATCTTACTGTAAATACTCAACAAAAAAATCTTTTTTTTTCCACATTTAACCCCTGACACCAATTCCTCGCTTTATGGTTATCGCCTCGCTCGCGCGAATTTGTTGGAAATCAAGGCGCGATTCCCTTTTCTCTAGACAGATTTTTTCATTATTTTAAGTGGTGAGTTTATTGAAGTTTTTTTCACAATTTATTCAATTATGGTTTTGGTCGGAGAGGTTTGGTTTTATTTTTTCATTACTTATCGCTAGATGAAAAGTCGTTTGCATTTTCAATTCCTTGCTTATTTCTGAGCTGATTAATCGCTGGGGGCAATGAATGAGACCAAAGAATAAAGTGCCCTTTATGAAAAGCCTCACTTCCTTCGCTTTAATAATCTTTTGTTTGCGGACAATAGCTTGCTCGTTATCATGGTAATTCCTGAATGAAAAGTCTTGAAAGCTTGTTGTTATAGGGGTTCCGTTTAAGTATTACCATAAAAAAGCTTCGATGACTCACCTAATAGGATATTTGTGTGAAACAGAATCGAAATTAAAATTATACCTTCGGGTTATAAAACTCTACCAGAAAAACAGAGCTCCCTAGTTTCATTTTGTAGCAAGTGAGCTGTTGAAACAGCCCCTAATAAAACCAAACAGTTCGACAAGCCGCACTATTGGAAAGAGTCGCAAATGTGACATGTTTAAGAGAGATGTTTTGGTAGTTATCATTTTAATGACTTTTCTATCTGTCCTTGCTATCAATCTTGAGAGGCTTAGAATTATTTTCAATTTGGGGCAATCTTATCGAAAATGAGATCTGCAAACTAGCCGGGAACATGAAAGGACAATGATCTCAACAGGACCCGCAGCCAAAACCCAGGAAAAATATCCTTCGTTGTTATGTCGCAAAACAATTCTCAAAATGAGCGTCAGTGAGTATAGAATTGTCGGAGACTAAAAAGAAAATCTCATTACACCGCAAGACTTTTTTTTCGCTGATATTTACTTATGTTTGTTTGCTCGTAAATGAATTGGTTTGTTATCACTGTGTAACTTTGGTCCGTTTAACAGTACAAACCATTGATAACGGACTAACTAATTAAGCCTTTACAATTTTATGTGTGTATTTTCTTTTAGAAAAAGTGAAATATTCCAGGCGGATGCGAAAAAATAATAATTCGAGTCCAATTTTAATAATAGGACTAGCTATTCTTTAAAAATTTATTGAAAGGAGAGCGCTATTTCTGAGTGTAAATAAAAATAAATGCCTTAAAGAGGGAAGCAGAAAGACCATTCATCGCATTCAAAGAGAATATTTGGTCTTCATAGAGTTTCTTTTGTTTCTGGAAGATTGTTTTCGGTCAGGGCGTAGATTCGTAATTCTTGCTTTTAATCTTGTCCTTTGTTAGACTTTTCCCTTTCTTTGTTTTAGGGTTAGATTAAGACGCATGAATGTAACATTGCCGCGCACATCCATATTCAAATTTTCTACAAACTTCGCCTTAGGATGTGAAAGTTTTTGTTGAAGTTCAACCCCTCATTTCCTGTCTCGAAAGAGAGGAAAGGAAATTGAGACTTTGGTGCGTGTTTGTTTCGTGCACTTCACAAACGAACTTATCAAGCTAACAAATGGCCATTCAAATGAAACACAAAAGGTATGACTAGGAAGAGAGCCACATTCAACAAAAATGAGCTTTACGCAAATTGCAAGTCTCGCATCTGTGTTTCTATACGTGATTAAAAGAAATTCTGAATTAGCCGCGGTTCCTTATTTCAACCGTTGACAATAAGAATCATGGTTTTAAGCCTAGGATAAACGCAATGTGAAATTAAACTCGGTTTGTTTAAGAACCCTTGAAAAACAACTAAACAAACAGTGTTTGAGTTGGTTAAGTCAACCATAGGTGTGGTCTCGTCCGCTATATTGACTAAGCCTTAGTACCAGAGAACCTCGCACCCACACTCGAATGATATAAGAGCCTTTTTTGAGCCCTTAACAGCCTGTTTTCTGAGTAAGAGTCAAAATAATGGAGTCTTTTTTGTCAGGTATTTAAATTAAGCGATGCTCAATGAACATTTCATTCCATTGGGGCATATACACACTGCCCTTTTAACTAAAATTCGGCATTAATAAAAATAGCGAAATGAAAATAAAATTATTAGTGGAGGTTTATAACAGAGCAAAACAAGAGGCAGAATTCAAATACAAATACAAGTACTGTTCACTTTTATTCTTTATTAAATGTGCTTGTGATATAGGTTGTTCCAAAGATACACGCTCGACATATGATATTATTATCAATAGTCATTTAGAAACTGAATCGTGGAATTCGAACAAAAAGGTTGCTTTTTTAAAGCAAATTTTCGGAAATTTGATGCGAAGATTAACACGTTGTTCGCTGGTTTGCGAAGGCACCTGAGCAAAGTTTGTCCGTAGCTAGTCGCCTCTTCATTAGCACGTCATGCATGTTCTGGAGTACTGTTTATTGGCATAGCCTGTTCGATACTTTCAGCGCTGCTAGCAGTAATTGCAATCAAATTATAACTTCTAGATGCCTCCTCAAGCCTCAATGGTAATACTGCTCCGACATTCACTGAAGTGACTGGGAGCAGTATTTTTGCTGAAGAAAGGTTTGAGAACGAGAATAAGATGATTTAGAGGAGTGAAAAAGCACAAGTTGATCACGAGCTGAGCCATAAGATCTAGCATGTTCCCTCGTGCCTCTTTTTCCCTACGTACGATTTATTAACAGGCTTTTCACCATTTGAACGCCGCGCTCTACTATGGGAACGCCTGGAAAAGCCAAAAGCTTGAAGATCATTCTATTTACCTGTGGGACTAAAGACAAGTCTCACGTTCGAATGTTGAAGGATTGAATTTACTTGTCAGTCTTGGAATTGATTTTGTTTGATGCCCGGAACAAACCAAAAAAACTACTCCAGGAGTAGATTTATCTTACTCTAATTTCGTTATTAGCGCTGAAAATTATATGCATTTCAAAGTCAGCTGTTGTTTCTCAGTTGAACATCAACTATTTCCAGTAAGTTAATTTGAGAGTTAAAAAATTAAAGCAATCCACATTGAAACCAAAATTCGAACAGAAATAGAGAGCGACTTTTCTTGTACTAAGTCAATTAATCTCACAGTCTCAAGCAATTTTACGCTTACCTTTAAATACGGTTTTTCCTCAGATTTCTTTATGTGGTGTATTTACTGTATTCATTTAAGACATCTACTACGCTATCTCAGCATAAAAGCCTAATTTTAGTAGAATCACCGCGGCAAACATTTCTGTTTTGTACAAAATGCACTGAAATGCAACTCGCGAAAAATGATCCTTCGTTCGAATTTCATTTTACATTTGTGATCTCGGATCCCCCAATTTCGTCGTAAAGCTAAAAGCTTTCGCCAGCCAGCTGTAAACTTTCCTCTCCAGCGTTTTAACAAGAGGCGAATATACAGCTTTGAACATGGCGCAAAGAAAATTAACGCGTGTCATAAAAGATGAAGTAAATAAATGAATAAATAGGCATTCAATTATATATACACGCTTGCGTTTGCAACTCTTTAAAGTTTTAAACTCAAACTGTGGGATGAAACTTGCTTCAAATCTCAACTGGAGAGACTCAGCGGTTACCTAGGACAATTCCGAATAAGAATTAGCCTGTCCTCGGAAATGGAAGTAACAGAGGAAACCGTCAATCAGCTAAAAATTACGTTGACCGAAGATTGCAACGATGGTGAGCGTCGATTTTTATCATAGTAACAGGAAGGGCAATTTTCGGTATCACGTATTATTTTTGTTTTTACCTTATGTAAGGGTAAAACGTGATAGGGAGATGTTTCAATTTAACATAAATCGCACTTCAAAGTGAGATGGAATTTTTAATGGACTTGATTTCTAGGCCTTGGGCAAGTGTAATTTATCTAGTAGATAATATTGTCAAAACAACAGCTAGACTCAACAAAACAAGGTGCAATGTAAATACAGGCGATTATTTTCCTTAAAAGCTGAATAATCGTATGAATTTGTAATTGTCGCCATTGAAATCAAAGTGTTAGAACACTTCGCTTAAGAATAGAAACTTAAAATAAAATGGACTACCGTTCCTTTGCGTAGTTGAAAGGGCAGTTTTGAAAGCATAGCAACAGAAACGGTTGAATTTGCATAACGGTAATTCTGACTTCGACGGTAAATATTCACACTTTGATCTTTGATCAACAGAGTAATCCGACACTAAATGATTTACGAAAGATAGAAAAGAAGCGAAGATGGGTGAACAGTAATCCCACGTTACCACTTTTTGATGATTCTTCTGGGCGTGTGTGAAGAAAGAAGATAGATTTTTAAATAA